TAAAAAAAAAAAAAAAAAAAGAAGGAAGGGGGTGGAGGGGGAGGTAGAGGAACAGCTCCAGAGGACTCAGGAATCACACTCTGGGGTGCAGAGTCCACGGGAACTGGGCAATACTACCATGTGTTTCCATCTTCATCCCGCTGTCCAAAGGCACTATAGGAGCCATCGTTGTGTTTGTACATCAGCTCCCGCTGGTACCCTGGGAAGCCAGAGGTAGTTTAGATCACAGTAACAACTTCGATATACACCCCCATGCCCTTCAAGGCTGCAGGACACTTCTGGGGTTGGAACTTCTCTACGTCTTATCAATCATAGACCCTGAAGGAGAAGAGTATCCAAGAAAGTAAGACTGAACCAACTTACCAATCGCCAGGAAACCCACTGCCCGAGATCTGATTTCCTCTGTCAGCAGCCCTGCCTTCTTCAGGTACTGCAAGATGTAGATTGTGGGTGCAAACAGGACCATGTTCTGCTCCCCACAGCCACGGGGCATCTGCACCAGACTGTCTAGGTTCTTCAGGGCTGTGCCCATAATGTCTCCTGGAACCCAAAAGGAGAGAGAAAAAAAGTGGCGGTGGAGAGAAGAAAGAACACTTAACAGTTATTGCCATTTATTTAACAAACGTGTAGTAGCTATCATTTAGTGAGTACCTACTACGTGCCCTGGAGAGACAAGTCAAGTAGTCTCTACCCTCAAAGAGCTCACAGTCAGATGGACAAACAATTAGAACACATTACAATTGTAATTAATTATAAAAACTTTTAATATAATACTATAATCTTGGGTATGTGCAGGGTGCTGGAGCACACAGACAGGTACGTAGGCCACCTAATGGAGTTCAGGGCTTTTAAGAAGACATGTCACTGAGGGTGATGAGTGATTAACAAAACTTATAATGCTAAACTCAGTCTTTAAATTCCTCCACTACTTGTAAATTCATCACCCTCCAAATCGTCAGGTCATTCCCAAGTACACACGGTCCTGATGCTCTTTTCCCAGTTCTATCTGCTGACCCCTCCATACACTTCAGAAGCCAGTAAGCCCCACATAAGTGACTCATTAACATCCGCATTGTAGACATTGAGTTCAACTCAAATCTATAAATATGTACTAAATGTCCACTGTATTGCAGGAACAGTACTAGAAACAGAAACGAAAAAGATGTGGTCCTTGTCTTCCAGGAGCTCATAATGTCGTGTGGAAGACAGGTGGAGACAGCGAGCTGAAATACAATGACACGCGTGCTGTATCCAAGTTACCCATGAAATACAGTCAAAGCAGAGAAATTTTTAGCAGGAAAGGATCTTGGTAGGGAGTAAGAAAGTGAAGAAGGAAACTAACAGTCACAGGTCTACTACTATGTGATAGATATTGTGCTGGGAAATTTATATTACATTTAATCTTTATACTGGCCCTGAGAGGTCGGGTATCACTGTTTCACAGAAGGACAAAAATGGAGTGGTATTGTTCACTAACTTTTTCAAGGTCACATCACTATTAAGTGGCAGGTTCGACGTGATTGTCAAGCTCATGTTTTTTTCTATTCACTTGCTCTCCTTTCCCAAAGGAGTGACGTGTAAATATGGCTGTATCTTCCCTAAACTGCTGGGCTAAACCATGAAGACTTTAATACCCCAACCTACCAAACATCACAGCTTAGCCTAGCCTACCTTAATCATGCTCGAAACACTTACATTAGCCTACAGTTGGGCTAAACCAATTAACACAAAGACTATTTTATAATAAAGTGTTGGATATCTCATGTAATTTATCAAATATTGTACTAAAGTATGGTTTTTATTGAAGGCATATTGCTTTCTCCCCACTGTAAAATGGAAAAACCGTTAAGTGGAGCCGTAGTAAGTCAGGAACCCTCTGCACAGCTAATCTCCTCTGTACTGCTACCTACACGCTGTATTTTCCCACTGCATAAAGCTCTTCTTCCCCCTAACCTGTCACCCCTTCCTTCAGGTAGGTCCACATGCCCCGCCCCGCTCTACACCTTTGCTGCCTCCACCACGACTTTTCCTTTTTGAGCCAAGACTCTCTAGCTGCTTACCCAGAACAGTAACAGAAGCCTGGGCTGAATCAGGAACAACGTCTGCAGGGAGATCCAGGGAGAAAGATTCTGAACCCACCTTTCCTGTGAGAGGCAGAGATAAGGTGCTTTAACATGAGGTAGAAATAGTGGGGGTTCCTAAGCCCAAATTTAAAAAAACTTGTTATAATCCAGGGTTTTCTGTACCCAGTGTTTTCTGTAGGATGGAGACAGATTCATTATTAGTAGTGATCTTGCTAAAATGAATTCCAAAGAGTCACAAATGTGCTGTATATTTTCTCTTCTTC